TACATGTACCCACGTACTACATATACAAATAATCGTCAACAGAACCTAAACAACTAACCAAACCTAACTAATGTCTAAATATGCACAGTATGCTAATATAAAATAATATTAATTTATATTTGAGAAAATTCCTATTTTGAATGAACATCATGTTAAAATTGATGAATGCGTCTGGGGCAATGCATACATGGCCCGCTGGATGGAATGGACTTGGTCTGAGGACAGGTGAATTTTAAGTCGTGTGTAATGTTTCCCCATTCATAAACAAAGAGTTTGGTGGCTCTACAGCTGCTTAATCACCCATGAACTGCAAATATAAATTACCAACAGAACCAAAACATAACCTAACTTACAGAGCACGTTTACAATTGATAAATAAATACATCACTAGGCCGCCCTCAGCTGGTACGAGCAGAGGCTGAAGACTGCCGACTAGGATAATTCATATTTTGTACACAACTACGCGAGCTCGATGGTACTCTTTTTTTTTTTAATGATCAGCTGAGAAAACATTGGGTTTGCAAAGTAAATTTTTTTATTAATACATTAGGTACATTTGCATTTGTGCAGCTACCCTAGACTATATGAAGGGGAGTACAGTGTGTCAAAAAGTTAGCTACGTGATGCTAAAAAATCCCCATCACACAGGATGGTTAGTCATAGAGGCCTGTGATAAGTAGTCTGCACTGACAGACTCTGGGTTCGTTATGAGGATATCATGAGCACAAGAGTGAATAAGGTAGCAGTGGTAATAAAAGTCCCCATCTCGCAGGATGGTTAGTCATACAGGGTCATATGTTTAGTAGCCTACACTGGCAAATTTTGGGTACACTGTGAGGATATCTTCAAGAATACGAGAGTGAATAAAGTAATTGCAAAGCTCCAGATACCTCATGCCAACTGGTAGGCAAGGCATTGAAGCAAATACCTAAATAGGTTTTAAGAATAGGACAAAAAGGATGCCCGAATGACGCCATCATTAGCTGGAACCAGTAGCACACTGATAGATTCAGCTCGCAAAGAGTGGACAGTGGATCTATAACTCCCCAACGTTCTTCACACAAATTTAAAAAATATATGTAAATTTATATATTTTAATTAATGAGCTAAAACATTTATTGAGTAAATTGACAAGACCCTGTTAAAGTGCTGATAAACGCCCTCATTCGCACCATTTCTTCCTGTTCACCTCTTTCACCCAGGAGTAATTGGGAACCTGGTTGTAAAAAACGATTCGCAGTTCGGTTATTTTGAGGGAAGGTTAGTAGGGTGAGACGTCAGATGTTTGGCACTAATAAAATCACTGGAGGAAACTTAATACCCAAATGAGCCACAGAGACATTAGAAAGAACTTTTTCAGTGTCAGAGTAGTTAACAGATGGAATGCATTATGCATTAATGTGGTGGAAACAGACTCCATACACAGTTTCAAATGTAGATATGATAGAGCCCAGTAGACTCAGGAATCTCTACAACAGTTGATTGACAGTTGAGAGACGGGACCAAAGAGCCAGAGCTCAACCCCCGCAAACACAACTAGGTGAGTACAACTAGATGAGTACTGGTGATTTCGAAGACAAGGCCAGAGTATAAAATATAGACAGTTACTACTAAGGTTTCCAAATAACTGCAGTTGAATTTCAACACTGTAGGTCTATTTTGATGGTCAAAAAACAATAATAAAACATTGCGAGAGTAAATTTGTAACGGAGACAAAATAACAAAAAAACAGGTAGAAGCGTAGTATTGTAGCACGCACCTACTCAAGACCTGCCAGTCATGGTATTGTTACCCCTGATGTAACCTTCCCGCCACCACCCCACACCATGGGTGCCTAGTTTTTTCATACTAACACATTTAGGTCCGTCTGCGTTTATAGAGCTGCTCACACTACATAATGGGGAATACATTGTGTCAAGAACTAGCTACGTGATGCTAAAAATCCCCTTCACACAGTATGGTTAGTCATACAGATCAATGTGATTAGTCTAAAGTCCATAATGAAACTTACGCCTCCTGGATATACAATGACGGCCAAGATCGAGCAGAGATGTCTACTCCTGTAGCCACTTGCGAAAAAAAATTAAGCTAGGTACCTATCCTCCTCAAATGCCTCAATGTGCATGGGAAGTGAACCCGGATTTTCTCTCAGATGAATACATAGTTGGGACTAGGGATACACGACGCCTAAAATACCAGCCACCGACCTCCCGTGCAGCCCAGAGGTGCCCAGGGGTGCCCAGGCAGGAAAGGGAGAGATCCCGGCCGAGTGGGGTCACAACCCCGGGGCTCATTAATATGGGAGTGAATACATATATCTTGTACAGAGATACGCTATAATACTCTCAAGAGTGTGAGTGTGTGTACTCACCCAGTTGTGCTTGCGGGGGTTGAGCTTTGGCTCATTGGTCCCGTCCCGTCAATCAGCTGATGTACAGATTCTTAACCCTATTGGGCTCAATCAAATCTACATATGAAACTGTGTATGGAGTTACACCTCCACCACATCACTGCCTAATACATTCCAGTTGTTAACTGCTCTGACACTGAAAATATTATTTTTAATGTCTCTGAGGCTCATCTGGGTTCTAAGTTTCCACCTGTGTCCCATTGTTCGTGTTCCATCCATGCTAAATAGTTTGTCTTTGTCCACCCTGTCAATTCCTCTGAGCATTTTGTAGGTGGTGATCATGTCTCCTCTTACTCTTCTGTCTTCCAGGGACGTGAGGTTTAGCTTCCGTAGCCTATCCTCGTAGCTCATACCTCTCAGTTTGGCTGAGAGCTGGAGCTGCACGCTCCAGGATTGGTCTGACATAGGTGATATACAAGGGTCTGAACGATTCCTTGCTCAAGTTTCTAAAGGCAGTTCTTATGTTGGCCAATCTAGCATATGCCGCTGATGATATCCTTTTGATTTGGGCTTCTGAGGACAGGTTCGGTGTGATATCAACCCTCAAACCTTTCTGTAATTGAATCTTGCAGGATTTCATCTCCCAGATGTTACATTGTATTCAGTGTCCTGCTCTCTTAAAAAAAAAAATAATCTTCACCTAATTTCATTACTTTACACTTTACGCTTAGAGTTAAACTTTAGTAACCATTTTCTAGACCATTCCTTCAGTTTGACCTGTAGTCTCTGTCTATCTTCATCTGTCTTGATTCTTCTCATAATTTTTGCATCATCGACAAATATTGAGAGGAATGAATCTATACCCTCTGGAAGATCGTTTACATATATCATAAACAAGATGGGTCCATGTACAGAACCCTGTGTACTTACCTAGTTGTGCTTACGGGGGTTGAGCTTTGGCTCTTTGGTCCCGCCTCTCAACCGTCAATCTACCGGTGTACAGGTTCCTGAGCTTCTCGAGCTCTCTCAAATCTACATATGACACTGTGTATGGAGTCAGCATCCATCACATCACTTCCTGGTGCATTCCATTTACTAACTACTCTGATACTGAGAAAGATCTTTCTAATATCTATGTGGCTCATTTGGGTACTCAGCTTCCACTTGTGCCCCTATGAGCATGTACAGTACCACTCTTGTTAAATAATCCATTCTTGTCTACCCTGTCAATTCCCCTAAGAATTTTGTATGTGGTGATCATGTCTCCTCGAACTCTTCTGTTCTCCAGCAACTGTATTCATCTACTTGTGCTTACGGGGTTGAGCTCTGTCTCATTCGGCCCGCCTCTCAACTGTCAATCAACTTTTTTCACACACACCTTCAGGAAGCAGCCCGTAAAGGAAAGGGTGAAAGAAACTACCTATTTGTTTCCGCCATCGCCGGGGATCGATCCCCGGTCCAAAGGAATCCTGAGCGCTGTCCATTCAGCCACCAGGCCCCCTTCTGTATGCGTGCGTGTGTGTGTGTGTGTATGTATTCACCTAGTTGTGCTTACGGGGGTTGAGCTCTGCTCTTTCGGCCCGCCTCTCAACTGTTTCTACTACTACTATTTTTTGTTATTTTGTATTTATTATTTTTTTCATATGTGTGTGTGTGTGATTGATTGATTGATTGATTGATTGATTGATTGATTGATTGAGTGAGTGAGTGAGTGAGTGAGTGAGTGAGTGAGTGAGTGAGTGAGTGAGTGAGTGAGCGAGCGAGCGATCTCCATTAGCTTAGGACCTTGTACACCAGTAAATTGACAGTCGAGTGGCGGGAGCAAAGAGCCGAAGCCCAACCCCCACAGATACAACTAGGTGAGAACAGTGGGGCATGGAGCCAGATGAAAATAGCCCCGCCGGTGTTAGATAGCAGAGCCAACTTAGCGCCACCTGTGAGCGCCGGCCCCCCCACTGTTGCACTGCACCTCCCCGGCAATATTCTTCAAGAACTATGTAATGTGGTGCCGTACACTTGTATCGTCCTTCCAGCACCGATCTTGTGCCAGGTAAGTCTTCTACGGGCTCACCATGGCCCGTTCTACTTGCCCCGCTCCTGTGCCAGGTAAGTTACGGGCTCACCATAGCCCGTGCTACTTGGAACGTGTTCCGAGTAGCTGAATCTATAACAACAACAACAACACTTGTATCATATTACATTGCTCCACTTCCAGGATCAACCTTGAAAACTCGTCGTTCTAATGTGCTGGACACGTGATTAGCGAAATAAGAATACTCACCTCCCTTCTATAATCGTATTCAGTACACGAGGCCTAACGCTACGCTCACGTTTTGAGTTCGGAAGGTTCAGCCACTAAGCTAGTGCTGTATTATCCGAGGCCAGATAAGAAAGACGAGGTCTATTAAGGCTTAACGCAGGTGAAGGTTGCGTCTCCCGCAGCGACCGTTCGTCGCTCGCGCCGTCTCGCTTGTCTTGTGTCACAGCTTCTGATCCGTAGCGAGGGGGCGTACGTGCTCCTGAATACATATATATCTCGACGGGCACAATGTGTTCTCAAAAGATTTACTTCTGTATTTTGTCCCGGGGAAGGCAATACTCCGAAAGGAGCAAGATGACCGACGATAAAGGAAAGGCTCATATTACTTACCAGTTCGACGAGCTTGACGATGCCTGGGCCTGTCTTGAAGTACTGCAAGCAGAGGGATATCCCTGAAGACTTCGGGGCGGCGTACGTCGGGGAGGTCGTGGTAGTAGTGGTGGTTGATACTTCCGACTTGGAGTGAGTTTCGGCCATCATGTCGTTGTTTTTGGAAGGGTCGTGTAGGGGTCTCCTTGTTGACTGTAATACTACTCAATATGAGTCACGCACAAACACGAGCACGTCCACCTCCCTCACTAGTTCGTAACGCACTGGCCTGGGATGGCGGAGTGTACCAGCACCCCCACCAACACCTCCACCAACACCCACCAACACCCCCCCACTACCCTAACGGGCCCCCTGCCACCCTCCGGGGCCCCGAGGAGCAGCACCTCCCTGAGGGGACCCCCACCAAACACCCCACCACCAACATAGTCACTTCCTTACGCCCCGCCCACCCCTTGACACAAACAGTTTTTTGTGTGTTTCTACCTCCATTATCATCAAATTTTCTTATTGAATTCAAGGCCCATCAGATTAAAACTATCCAAAGAGATCCAGTGCCTCAAGACAATCGGTCATTTGTGACTAACAAACCTATCTTTGCTGAGAGCGCTCTACGGTTTGGTAACTTGAATGCTGAGTGCGGCACAGGACGCCTGGCCGCTCCCACGGTGAGAATACCAACACAGCCACAGCTATACTGACGCGCAGTGCCACTCCGTCACTCCCAAATATATGCTACTTCACTATACTTGCAATATGTCACTCTATACACCACCACCCGAACAGGTATATACAAGACGCAATCACAGATGCTCCCACTACCACAGATGCTGTCACTCCACCACTCCCACAGATGCTACCACTGCCACAGATGCTCCCACTACCACAGATGCTGTCACTCCACCACTCCCACAGATGCTGCCACTGCCACAGATGCTCCCACTACCACAGATGCTGTCACTCCACCACTCCCACAGATGCTGCCACTGCCACAGATGCTCCCACTACCACAGATGCTGTCACTCCACCACTCCCACAGATGCTGCCACTGCCACAGATGCTCCCACTACCACAGATGCTGTCACTCCACCACTCCCATAGATGCTGCCACTGCCACAGACGCTCCCACTACCACAGATGCTGTCACTCCACCCCTCCCACAGATGCTGCCACTGCCACAGATGCTCCCACTACCTCAGATGCTGTCACTCCACCACTCCCACAGATGCTGCCACTGCCACAGATGCTCCCACTACCACAGATGCTGTCACTCCACCACTCCCACGGATGCTGCCACTGCCACAGATGCTCCCACTACCACAGATGCTGTCACTCCACCACTCCCACAGATGCTGCCACTGCCACAGATGCTCCCACTACCACAGATGCTGTCACTCCACCACTCCCATAGATGCTGTCACTCCACCACTGCCACAGATGCTGTCACTCCACCACTGCCACAGATGCTGTCACTCCACCACTGCCACAGATGCTGTCACTCCACCACTGCCACAGATGCTGTCACTCCACCACTACCACAGATGCTGTCACTCCACTACTCCCACAGATGCTCCCACTGCCATAGATGCTGTCACTCCACCACTGCCACAGATGCTGTCACTCCACCACTGCCACAGATGCTGTCACTCCACCACTCCCACAAATGCTGTCACTCCACCACTGCCACAGATGCTGTCACTCCACCACTGCCACAGATGCTCCCACTACCACAGATGCTGTCACTCCACCACTCCCACAGATGCTACCACTGCCACAGATGCTCCCACTACCACAGATGCTGTCACTCCACCACTACCACAGATGCTGTCACTCCACCACTCCCACAGATGCTGTCATTCCACCACTCCCACAGATGCTGTCACTCCACCACTCCCACATATGCTGTCATTCCACCACTCCCACAGATGCTGTCACTCCACCACTCCCACAGATGCTGTCACTCCACCACTCCCACAGATGCTGTCACTCCACCACTCTCACAGATGCTCTCACTCCACCACTCCCAAATATGCTGTCATTCCACCACTCCCACAGATGCTGTCACTCCACCACTCCCACAGATGCTGTCACTCCACCACTCCAACAGATGCTGTCACTCCACCACTCCCACAGATGCTGTCATTCCACCACTCCCACAGATGCTGTCACTCCACCACTCCCACATATGCTGTCATTCCACCACTCCCACAGATGCTGTCACTCCACCACTCCCACAGATGCTGTCACTCCACCACTCCCACAGATGCTGTCACTCCACCACTCCCACAGATGCTCTCACTCCACCACTCCCACAGAAGCTGTCACTCCACCACTCCCACAGATGCTGTCACTCCACCACTCCGACATCATTTATATTTGCCAACATCCAGAGTATAAAAACACGCAAATCCAACAAAGTTCACTTTATAGATGGTCTCCTTCATAAGGCAAATGCAGTGTTTGCAGCCCTAACGGAAACTCACACAAAGGACTACCTTGATGGTGAAATATGGATCTCAGAGTACAATCTCTTCAGATGTGATAGGAAACACCGGCTTCAGGGTGGGGTCAGCCTCTACATCAGAGACATACTCATCTGTACTGAGCTGCTAAACACCTCAAATGATATGGTGGAAGTGCTGATAGTCAAAATAGAGATCCTAAATGTAGTTGTTGTCCTCCTATATAAGTCACCGGAGGCGAACCCTCAGCAGTTTAAAGACCAACTAATGAAAATAGAACACTGTTTGGAAAACCTCACAAATCCAGCTCCGAACATCATCCTGCTTGGGGACTTCAACCTACGGCACCTGAAATGGAAGCACCTGGCTAATACAGTAATATCAGAAAGAATACCAGGAAGTAGCCTAAATGAACAGGCACATGCAAATGACCTGCTACGGATGTGCGATAGGTTTGCCTTAAACCAGCAAATAGTAGAACCAACTAGGAAGGAGGACACGCTGGACCTCATTTTCACTAATAATGATGAGTTGATCGGGAACATAATGATTACAAATACCTGTTACTCAGATCACAACTTAATTGAAGTTCTGACAACCATGGGGAATGGACCTTCAAAACCAGTCCAGATTCCCGGTGGAGGAAATTTCAGGAAATTCAACTTCAATAATAAACAGATAAACTGGGAGCAAATAAACCAGGACTTCATAAAAATAAACTGGGAAGAACAGCTAGAAAATGCAAACCTGAACCAGTGCCTGGAAAAAATAAGCTCAGTAGCACTAGAAATATATTCAAACCGCATACCCCTAAGAAAATAGAGAAAGAGATGCAGATTGGAACGGGAACGTCGTTCCTTATATAGGCGAAGAAAACGAATCGCGGAACAACTTGAGAGTCGCACCCTGTCTTAATGCACTCAATTAATTAAGACCAATAAATGACTAATAAAAATTAAATAAAAAATTAATTTAAAAAAAGTGTAACAAAGAGACTTTGGATACCTAGCCCGCACTAGGTGACAAGGGGGTTAATTATGTTGACTCATTGAGAGTGATAATAAGGTGAGACAAACCATATTGAGAGAGGAAAGTGTTGAGGTTATCCTCATTAACAATTGTAAACATTTTACCTCCTGAAGTCTTTCTCACTTTAATCATGCCATCTCTAACGAAGCACTGATGAATCGCATCTGAGTTTTGATAACGGATTTGACGCAGGCGGTGGAGGAGTTGCTGTCTTTTTCTAGTCAAGCACTCGTTGATGTAGATTTGCTTTCGTTGGGATGCAGCTGTCCGGACAATATGCGATTTTATGGTTTGGGAAGCTAGCTTCAGGCGAATTTTCCGCTGGTTTTGTCCTGATGGATTCTTTTTGCCTACTCTGTAGGCAGCAATAATGTCTGTTTTGTTTTTGAGTGACCTGCAATTCGTTTTTTTATGAGAGCCTGAACTATTTCAATACACTTTTCACCTTCACTTTCCACAGGAATATCTTGGGACGACACAACAACAGAGTCAAGCAACTTTTGCTGCTCTTGTTCATCCTGGGAGATGGAATGTTGGGCGGATAATGTGTAACACCCATGACCCCCCCCCCCCCCCCCCCACCTAGAGTTCTCATCCAGGGAAGCCTTCTCCAAGAGGTCAGCCCATATGACCTCTGGATTATCTTGTATGTTGATTAAAAAAATTCCTGGGTTAGTCTTAGTCAGCTAGTTTCAAGTATATAATATTTCATGATACTCTTGTCAAACATTGCAATGGAATTAGACCCCAGATTCTTATGTGTAAACATCCGTGGATCAACCCCCTTTTAGCCAGGCCAGAGGTCAGCCACACTTGTAATTAATAATTCCTCTCTTGAACAGTGTATGGTGAATGTCAAACAAGTTTAATGAAAATTCTTGAGTGTGCACGTGTGGCCCGACCTCTTTCGATCTAGGTAGCAACAGCAAATCTTCCCCTCCCCCTTTTTCGAGGTGTATATATTGGTCCTGGAGGAGAAGTAGTGGAGAGTGCCGGACACCAGGGTCCAGAGAGGGCTGTGGAGAACATCGCACAGCCAAGGAGTGACAGAGTGAATCCACCGGAGGGAGGGACAGAGGTCTTAAGGTAAAGGGTGATCTCTGAGGGGTTTGTTCCATGTCTAAATTTCTTAATTATTGGCCAGTGTTAGAGTAGGATTTATAGTGGTGAATAGCCATTTTGTTCTCAATAAATTTGTGTTAAATTTCCCGTCTGTGTCAATTGTTGAATCCTCTTAGCCTTTTGGATATAGTTATCTTGAGGTTATCTTGAGATGATTTCGGGGCTTTAGTGTCCCCGCAGCCCGGTCCTCGACCAGGCCTCCACCCCCAGGGAGCAGACCGTGACAGCTGACTAACACCCAGGTACCTATTTTACTGCTAGGTAACAGGGGTGTAGGGTGAAAGAAACTTTGCCCATTGTTTCTCACCGGCGCCTGGGATCGAACCCAGGACCACAGGATCACAAGTCCTGTGTGCTGTCCGCTCGGCCGACCGGCTCCCACTGACAACCGTCCCATAATTAATGACAGTTATAGAAAGTACTCTCAAAGTCAAGCAATGTTTCTTGCCTCGTTGCTTGATATAGTCTCAATGGTCAAGGCAGATGGTGGCAGCGTTTTTTTAATCCTGTTTAGCATTTCCTTGTTGGCAGTGTACCTTTTGGTTCCGGTGTAACCATCATATGTCAGCTCATATTACAGTGTTCAATAACAGTGTTACCAAGTGCAACCGATAGGAAGTGTTACTCAGTCTTACATTATCAGTTTAGTATACATTTTATAGTATCATATTTTTAGAG